ATGGATGTGAGAGCTGGACCTTAGGGAAGGCTGGGCGAAGGAAGAGAGATGCTTTTGAACTGTGGTGTTGGAGGAAAGTGCTGAGAGTGCCTTGGACTGCGAGAAGATCCAACCAGTCCATCCTCCAGGAAATAAAGCCCGGCTGCTCATTGGAGGGAAGGATACTAGAGACAAAGTTGAAGTACTTTGGCCACATCATGAGGAGACAGCAAAGCTTAGAGAAGACAATTATGCTGGGGAAAGTGGAAGTTAAAAGGAAGAGGGGCCGACCAAGGGCAAGATGGATGGATGGCATCCTTGAAGTGACTGGACTGACCTTGAAGGAGCTGGGGGTGGTGACGGCCGACAGGGAGCTCTGGCGTGGGCTGGTCCATGAGGTCACGAAGAGTCGAAGACGACTGAACGAATGAACAACAACAACAGATCAGCGTTTCTCAACCTGGGGGTCGGGACCCCTTGGGGGGTCATGAGGAGATGTCAGAGGGGTCACCAAAGACCATCAGAAGACACAGTATTTTCTGTTGGTCATGAAGATTCCATGTGGGAAGTTTGGTCCAATTCTATCGTTGGTGGGTTCAGAATGCTCTTTGATTGGAGGTGAACTATACATCCCAGCAAATACAACACCTATCTATTTTTCCCCAATACAAGACCTATCTATTTCCCCCCCAAACTCCACCAGTGTTCACATTTGGTCAGACTGAGTATTTGTGCCAAGTTTGGTCCAGATCCATCATTGCTTGAGTCCACAGTGCTCTCTGGATGTAGGTGAACTACAACTCCAAACTCAAGGTCAATGCCCACCAAACCCAGTATTTTCTCTTGGTCATGGGAGTTCTGTGTGCCAAGTTTGGTTCAATTTCATTGGTGGAGTTCAGAATGCTCTTTGATTGTAGGTTAACTATAAATCCCAGCAACTACAACTCCCAAATGACAAAACCAATTATCCCCCCCCCCCAACCCCACCAGTATTCAAATATGGGCATATCGTTTATATCAAATACATCCTGCATATCAGATATTTATATGATGATTCATAACATTAGCAAAATTACAGTTGTGAAGTACCAACGAAAATAATTTTATGGTTGGGAGTCACCACAACATGAAGAACTTTATTAAGGGGTCGCGGCATTAGAAGGTTGAGAAACACTGACTCTAGGCGCTCTTACTGCCTATTACAGGGAAAACCAGCTGATCCCTAATCCATCTAAAACACAGACATGTGCTTTTCACCTTAAGAACAGACAAGCATCCCGAGCTCTGAGGATTACCTGGGAAGGAGGAGCCCCGGAGCGGAGTGGGTTAAACCCCTGTGCTGGCAGGACTGAAGACTGACAGGTCGCAGGTTCGAATCCAGGATGAGCTCCCTCTATCAGCTCCAGCCCCTCATGCGGAGACATGAGAGAAGCCTCCCATGAGGATGATAAAAACATCAAATCATCCGGGCGTCCCCTGGGCAACGTCCTTGCAGACAGCCAATTTTCTCACACCAGAAGTGACTTGCAGTTTCTCAAGTCACTCCTGACACGACAAGAAGACCTGGGAAGGAATCCCACTGGAGCATTGCAGTGCACCCAAACACCTGGGAGTTACCTTGGACCGTGCTCTGACCTACAAGAAGCACTGCCTGAATATCAAGCAAAAAGTGGGCGTTAAAAACACCATCATACGAAAGCTGACTGGCACAACCTGGGGATCACAACCAGACACAGTGAAGACATCTGCCCTTGCGCTATGCTACTCTGCTGCTGAGTACGCATGCCCAGTGTGGAACACATCTCACCACGCGAAAACAGTGGATGTGGCTCTTAATGAGACATGCCTGCCACTTTTGGACTCTTAAGTCTGAGGTGTTCCAGCAAGTGTCTCTGTAGATCTTAGAAAACTATTTCTTGATTTAAGTCGTTGGCATGCTGGCTGATACCCAAACAGAGGATAGGCCGGAGATGTCACTGCCTTGATCCTTTCACTATTGGTTGCAACTTCCCGGCGGATGTCAGGTGGTGCAATACCGGCTAAACAGTGTAATTTCTCCAGTGGTGTAGGGCGCAGACACCCCGTGTTAATGCGGCATGTCTCATTACGGGCCACATCCACTGTTTTAGTGTGGTGAGATGTGTTCCACACTGGGCATGCGTACTCAGCAGCAGAGTAGCACAGCTCAAGGGCAGATGTCTTCACTGTATCTGGTTGTGGTCCCCAGGTTGTGCCAGTCAGCTTTCGTATGATATTACTAGCTGTCCCCTGCCACGCGTTGCTGTGGCCCAGTCTGTTTATATGTGTTTTGTGTGTGTATATATGTGTATATTTATATATTTGTGTATATGTGTATTTATGTGGTTATTAGCATGCGTTGTAATGTATTTTTTTTGGCTTTTTAAGTCTTTTCCGCTGTGTTTTTCAGTGTTTTTATGAGTGACTGTGAAGCCGAGCATGTCTCCCCCCTCCCCCAAATAAGGGATAGTAACTTAGAGTTTTCCAAGGGCCAAGGACAAGTCTGCAGGACTCCCTTGACTGGCTCAGTGAAATCCTTTGGACCTTTCCTCATTAATTTCATGTTTTAGCCATTCCCCATTGACACTCTTTCATAAGGACAAACCTTATGAAATCTTGCCTTTCATGAACTTTAGATATATGAAATATGTTTCCTGATTTCTTTGTGGCAGAAGCCTCTCTCCTCCTCCCCCCTTCCTGACCTTTATTTCTCCTATATACATGGAGAAACGCCACCAAAGGAACTACAGAGCCCCCAAACATTCCAGGAATTTTTATCCACAACTTCCTTTTGCATGAACAATAGCCTGGACAGCTGATGGCCCTCGGAGGATTTGTCCAGCCCTCAGCTTGCCCCTTTGGCAAAGATCTTAATCATATTTACGTCTGGAGGACAAAAGGTCCTCGAAAAACCTTTTGCCTTCGCTCTGATTAACTCAGCTATCTCCACCAAGAGACGATCACCCCAGTTTCGCCTTTGTTGTCTCCATATCTGCTGGATAGTAAAATCCGAACTTTCCTTTACACATGTTGATTCATTCCAATCAAAGCACAATAGATCAGGCTTGCTTGAGACGCCCTCTTTGTCTCGCAGGCTACATGTCATTTTTTCAGACTTCATTCATAGATTTGTTTGTGTTCTATCATCCCGCCTTCCTCTTTCTTGATTTGCTGCCGCCGCTAGGCAGCAAGAGCTTCCCCATTGGATCCTACGGACCGCTGGAGCTTCCTGATTGGTCCGGAGGCGCCGGGGGCGGGAGGGCCGCCTCCCAGCTGTTTGCCCATTGTCCAATCACAGTGGCAGCAGGGAGGCCGGGGCAGGAAGTTTGAACTCTGCAACTTTGAATTTACTATAAATATGGCTGTATCAAATGTATTTCTTTATGCTCTGCTGGCGAATGATTGCAGCTCTGCATCCTTTTCAGCTGGATCGCTAAATAAACCTTGATGGCTTTTCTTCAACCTTGGTGAGATTTATTTGGGAAAAATCAGGGAAAATTCTGGGCCTTTCTCCTCTTTCGCTTGCCAAGGGTTTCGGACTCTCTTTGGTGGGTCTAAGGGCTCCTCTCTCCTGGGCAGGAGCCTCCAAATTCTAGCTCGATATCAATTGTGGCCAAACCTTCCCTCCCTCTTTCCTTCCTTCCCTGTTTTTATTTGCCTTCTTCTTTCCCTTTTTCTTCCTTCCTTCTCTACTTGTTTGTTATCCTCCCTTCCTTCCTTCCTTCCTTCCTTCCTTCCTTCCTTCCCTCCCTCCCTCCCTCCCTCCCTCCCTCCCTCTCTCTTTTGTTCCTTCTCTCCTTCCTTCCCTCTCTCTTTCCTTCTTTCACTTTTTTATTTCCTTCTCTCC